ATGGGGACGATTGAAAGCGGATGCATTTTGATCTGAGGACTCACCACACAGCTGAGGTTCAGGGTTCTGTGAGGTCACCTTGTCCAGCCCCTCCTGGGAATCAGGAAAGAGGCTCAAAGATTCCTTGGACACAAAAGCAAAGTACCCTGGCCTCTCAGTTGGGGGTAGGGTGAAGGATGGGTGGCTTCTGGGCCACTATAGGACTAATAGGCAGATGACTAAGCCCCTTCGGGTTTCTGAACTTGCAGCCAGCTTTTGGAAGAAAGGATGTGGAGCAGCAGAGAGAAAAGGAGAAGGAGGAAGAAGAAGCTGTTGCTCTTTGTCCCCACGCATGGCAGGATGGCTTCTGGCCCCCAAGCCCCAACAACTGGGTGCTCAGGAACTGCCATCCTGCCTGTTGGTTTGTAAGCCAAGGCTGTGGCTCTGTCGGTGCCTTTTCCTCCCTTCTGCTACAGGTGCTCCTCCCCTACCCCCAAGACTGTATCATAATTTGTACCCAATTCAGGGAAGATGTTTCTACCAATCTGAGCCCCCTTGGGAGGTAGCAGGCTGCAGAAGCTGTAGGGGCTGGGGACACTGGTTGGGCCATATCTCCCTTTGACCCCTCCGTCTCAGGTTAGCCAAGCTCTAGTGAGCACCCACCACACATCCAGCCAGGCAGGGTGTGGCAGGATTAAGGGCATGACCGCCACACAAGCAGCCCCCTGCCACTGTCCCCACAGACCCATGGACTTCCTTCCTGTCTGCTTGTGTCTATCTGCCCACTAGAGCATGAGCTCCATGAGGACAGAGATCTTGTCACCATCCCCAGTGCCCAGAACATGGTCAATCTGGATTTAAGACAGCCATGCTGAATGAGAGGAGCCTACATTGCAGACAGAAAATGGAACATTGAAGTGGGCCTGTCCCCATGGTGGGGATGGGTCCTAAGGTCTGCCCCAGGTGGTCCCACCACTTTCTTTCTCCCCCTCTCTGCTCACAAGGTGGCCTTCCTTCCCCAGGCCAATACAGTCCTTGCAGTTTGATTCTGTGTCAGTCTGTCTGTCCTTCCTGTCTCTTTAAGGAGAGGAGGGATAGCTACAAGGCTCTGCTAGTCCCCATTCTCCTTCCTCTCTAGCTGGGGGAGGGCCCTGGGGCTCCAGGGATGATCTCAATGCCAGCTGCTTTCAGGATCAGGAAGGAGAATTGTTTACAGGTCTGTAAGGTTTATTAACAATCCAAGGGGAAGCTCCCATCTAGCTGCCTGGAATATCTGGGTGAGCTCATTCACTTGGGTTTGGGGCTATAGCTGCCTGAGACTGGGCGCTGAGCAAGGCCAGGAGGCAGGAGGTCATTGTATCCAATGGCTTTCATAATTTCCTTCAAGACATTTGGTTTGAATGAACCCTTAGATAGAGCCCTAATATAAGAAAGTGATAAGAGCAGAACCATTCTGGATGAAAAGAGGCCGGGATCTGCCTTGAAGCCTAGGAAGCCCCCAATGTACCTCCCTGAAACCATGAAACAGCCTGAAACCATGTTTTAGATCAATCTTCCATGTGAATATGGGAAACTGAGGCTCAGGGCTGGGAAAGCAACTTGCCTAAGATGCCCCAGTGGCAGAGCTAGGAGTCTCTTAAAGGTGTAGTGGCTTTGTCCTGGGTTCCTGCCACCTCCCACTGCTGTTTGCAAGCAGACCCTGAGCCTATGGGAGTCTTAGCAGAGTCTTCTGCTGGCTGAACAGTTGGAAGAGCCCAGTAGTTGAAGGCATTGGTTGAGGCAGGTGATTGGGCAGGCTGGGGCAGGCAGAGAGACAGACAGAAACAAGGACAGACAGGCAGGGAGCAGCCCAAATTGGACACCTACTCTGTGGGCACCTGGATGCCCTGTAGCTTTCAGGAAAACTTGGATGCAATTAATTGGATTTTTTTGGTCCTCAGTGGAGGCTCTGAGCTCACAATCATCTTTAGGGAAAAAGATGATATGTTTCCTTTGGAGATGCTTGGCTTGAAGGGAGGGAGAGCTTTCACCCCATCCTTTTCTGTTAATAAAATAGCTCTTATTTTAATAAAGATCCAAGCCCTCCAGCAGACAGTTCATAGGAAAGAAATACAGAAGATCAATAAACATGAAAAATTGCTCAGGTTTATTCATAATTAAAGCAATACAAGTCAAGGCAACAATTAGATAGATATCATTTTTCACCCATCAGAATGATGCCTTTTAAAGTTTCATAATATCTTCTGTTGATAAGGCTGTGAAGAAACAAGCATTTTCTTCGCCTTGTGGGGTCCCACTTTGTGCAGCCTCTTCAGAAGGTACTTTGACAAAATTGGTCAATTCAGATCAAAAGCATCAACACACATTCCCTAGAAATCCACAATTCCACTTCTAGGCACTTGCTCTATAGAAGTATTCACCTGTGTGCAAAGAGATGTTTAAGAACACTCGGCACTACATTGCTTATAAAAGTGAAAAGCTCTAGACACCCAAAATGTTCATGAGCAGGTGAATTAATGGGATTGGGGGGTTAGGCAGCTGTGCAAGTTGCTGTGTTGTGTTCAAAAGAAATGAGCTAGATGTATTCTGACACGGAGATATCCTCAAGGCACACTACTCACTTAAAGAAGTAAGTTGCGGAATGGCATGCGCCGCAGAGGTAAGATCTCATTTGTGTGAAACCCTGTACACTGCAAACATATAAGCCAGATGTGCTCTGGACCCCTCTTTTCCCTTCCCAGAAACATCTGTCGAACCTCCTGGTGAGCAGAGCCTTCCACTGGGGTGTTGGGTCTCTGAAGCCCATCTTGCACACTCGGCCACAAGCCATCTTCCTGGACCCAGGCATCATGTAAGATTTGGCAGATCACTCTGCACCTTTTGTGCTCTAGCCCTTCAGACACATGAGGTCAGCACATCACACAGTGGAGACTTTTCAGAATGGTTGGAGTGCATGTTAAGGGCCATTTCAGAAGGAACTTATGATGTATTATAGATTATAATTATGAAAAGGTTAGCATGTTAGAAAACATGCTAAGAGACAAGTTCAAAGTCACACAGCAAATTTTGACTCTCACTTTCCGGCCATCCTTGACACCTAATCCAAGAGAAGCAGTCATGCTAAGGGGGTGAGATGCCAGGGTTTCTGTGTGGCATTTGGGGGGGGTCTCCCCATTCTTTGCTTGGCTTTGAGTGGGAGATTCCCATGCCACCAGGAGGCAGTGCTTCTGAGTTTACCTGAGTCTAGTGCCCATGTACCCAGGAAAACCCAGCAGGTCACGGCCAGTTGGTAGACAGAGGGAACTCTGGTCTGGGATCAGTAGCTCAAGGCCCTGTGGTGAGCCAGCCCCCACACTGCTCTGCCTCTGCTTACTCCTGAGTGCTTCTCACAATTGAGCCACCCTGTATGGAGGGGATTGTTGGCTCCATTGTCCACAGGGATGCTGAGGTCCAAAGAAGGGAAAGACTTGCCCAGCGTCAAATCTGGAGGCCATGGTGAGATAGGATTGCCAGATAAAATACAGGATATCCAATTAAATTTGCACAGCAGATCAAGGATGAGCCATTTTTTAGTGTAAGCATGTCCCAAAGGTTGCATGGAACATATTTACACTGCAAAATAATTTGGTGATTGCCTGACATTCAAATTGACTTGTTGCCTGTATTTTCATTTGCTCACGCTGGCAACCATGGCCAGGTAGAAAACCACAGCTCCCACTTCCCAGGTTCCCGAGTCCCACTGAGACACACAGCAGTTTCTCTGCTCCTAAGGTGGCCCTCCAGGAAGCTCGAATTTCATTGCAGCTGCTCTTTTGGAGCTGGGAAGGGCTTCTTTGGGGGCCCCCAGGAATCTGGGCAGGCCCTATATCAGCTCTGCTCCTGGAGAGCTTAGTCCTAGAGCTGGACAGGTGGGGAGGGGGTGGGGACAGGCAGCCCTGGCTGTGTCACCTTCTCCATCTTGGCCCCTCCCTTTCCTCTCCCTTTGCTGATTTCCTTTCTTCCTTTCTTCCCCCTTCCTCTTTTCCTTCCTCCTTTTTCGCCTTCCTCCCACCTGGCCCCAGCTGTGCTCCTTCTACAAATAGCCTCCTCTTCTTCCAAGGACTCTGGGGCTGAGCCCTAGCATTGAAGGTTCACCACTGGTAGTTGTAGCAATCAGGGTGGCCGGAGGATAGAGCCCATAGGATGTACATATGTATGTATGTGTATGCATATGCACACGTGTGTAGAGATTGCCTTTAAGGAACTGTCTCACGTGGTGGTGGGGCTGGCAAGGCCACAGTGTGCAGGGCTGGCCGGCAGGCTGGAGACTCGGACAGGAGCTGAAGCCGCCGTCCCGAGGCAGAACTTCCTCCTCTCTGGGAAACCTCCGTCTTTGCTCGCAAGGCCTCTCGACTGACTGGCTGGAGCCGGGTCACGTTATCTAAGATTAGTGATCTTTACTTCAAGTCCGCTGATTGTAGACGTCACCACAGCTGCCAGATACCCCCACACCAGCACCTACACTAGGGTTCAGTGGAATCGCCAGGGACTATGGCCCGGCCCAGGTGACACCTGATCTTGCCCACCACAGTGGTTGAATTAATAGGGAAGCTGAGGGAGAACTTGGGGTTCCAGTGGCTGCAGGCAGCTCCCTCCTATCATGCCCTTACCTCCCTTGGTTCTCAGGGTTCCTGTCCAGGCTGAGCCAGGTTGAAAAAGGCCACCTCCCTGCCTGGGGACTCTGGAATGGGGGAGGCAGGATGTGCTCTGCAGAGAATTCCTTGTGAGGGGTGGTGTGGCCTGAATTATGGGCCAGAGCTGGGCTTGCAGAAGCCATGACAGGCCTGGGACCTAACCCCGCTTTGACCACTGTCTGACTCTTGGTCCTTGTGCCAGTCTCTGCCTCTCCCTAGAAATGATGGAGAGTGAACTCTGCCTGCCCTGCAACAGGCTAAGTCCAGGGATCCATGAGTCAAAGCATTTCTCACGGGCAAAAGCTCTGAGCTGTATCTCTTTTCCCAAGTTGCTTACAGAGTAGCAGGGGAGAAGGCAATGAACCAGCCAACAAGATACAGCAGGAACAAAAGGTGCTGAGTCCAAGGCCTGAGCTCAGAGAAGGAGTCTGGCTCCACCCCCATGTCCCGATATATATCTTCCTTGAGCTCCTATGCCCCGAAGAGGTGATTTTCCAAGTGTCTCTGCTGTGCCTGCACCCTGCGCATCCTTGACCAGAGCTTACAAGTGAACAATTGGCTGTGATGGCAGGAGGCCCCCCTAGCATCAAGGAGGAGATGGAAATGTCTATGGCTGAAGAACTGGGTGCTGGAAGTCAAGGCCAAAGCCAAGAGCAACTGGTGATAGCAGGTGAGGATCCCCTGAAATGTCCCTGGGCTAAGGCCAACCATGTAGACATGTCTCTACACCTGGGCATGTGGGTGTTGGAGAAAGTGCATGTGTGCCTGGGCAGATGCTCAAATGTATGCAGGTATGTGTTTACATGTATGTGTGGGCATGTGTGTATGTCTGGGTCTTTGAGTATTTGTGGGTTGAGTGACAGGAGAGGTGAGGGAAAGGGATAGATGATGTGAGCATTTTGTAGCCCATGAGAGAGGAGGGTGGGAACAACATATGTGATTCCTCTGTTGCCTCCTTGTCTAAGCCACCACTGTGTCTATTGCAAAATATTTAGAGGGCTTAATTTATAAGATCAATCAGATCAATTCTGTTTCTCAATCCTCTAGTGCCTTCTCCTACCTTAGGAGTAAAATTCAAATTCCACGATCTACAGAATCTTATCAGGGTCACCTCAGCAATGCCTCAACAATGCCATATGACCTATACAGAAAATAGCATTTCTATAGCCCATAAGGGGCGACCCACTCCATACTGCATTTATGTTCATTCTTATAATGCCTCAAACCTGCTTCTTCTTCACAGCCCTTTCACTCACTCTCTATCTGGAACGTTCTTTGCCTCAATTTCCTCAGTGTCTCCCACTTTTCTCTCTGTTTGAATTTGTACTGATGGGTTCATTTTTGCTTTGCAACTGTCCTGCCTGCCCCCAAGATGATCAGTTCCTTGATGGTTGGGATCTTGTCTCTTGGTCATTGCTCTCTCCAGTAACCTAGCCTACAGCTTGACCTTCAATAAATACTTGCTGAAGTTTTGCACAGATGAACAAACAGGCCTGGGATCAGGCAATGGGCAGTGGTGAATGGGTGTTGAGTGATTCCTAAGAAGTTTGGGGACCTTTTTTTCCTTTTGGTGTGTATTGTGTTCAGGGAGCCCTGGTACAACTTCTATGAGTATTTCTGGGGCCTCTGTTCTTCTTTCTAGAAATGATGGAGCGTGGATCTCGGTCCCTGGGTGCCTCCCAGAAGCGACAGAAGTTGGAACCGAAGTCTGCTGGTTCTGCTGCAGCCCAACTAATTTGGAATATGACTGCCACCCGGCCCAAGAAAGTGGTACTGTATGGGGTTCTTGGCACATGGTGGACAGGTTGTCATTGGTTGTAGGGGCTATAGTCTGATCATGGTAGGTTGAACAGGGCTAGAAGTTGACTTGGGGGAAGGAGGAAGCTCCTGTTTGCCAAGCAGGCAAATGAGGGCAGGGAGGTCCAGTGAAAGGTCAGGGACATCTTTTCTTTTTTTCAAGAGGTCTCTCTCTGTCACCCAGATTGGATTGTGGTGGCACAATCATAGCTCACTGCACCTTGAACTCCTCAGCTCAAGCAATGCTTTTGCCTCAGCTTCCCAAGTAGCTAGGACTACAGGTGCATGCAACCATGTCTGGCTAATTTTTAAATTTTTTGTAGAGACTGGTTCTTGCTATGTTGCCCAGGCTAGTCTTCAACTCCTGACCTCAAGCAATCCTCCCACCTTAGCCTCCCAAAGTCCTGGGATTACAGGCATGAGCCACTGTACTAAGCCACTGGGAGTTCAATCTTGGGAGTCCAAAATGTCTACAGCACATATTGCTTTGGAAGTACATTCATACTTGGCTTTGTAAAACTCTAGTTGTGAAATGACACTTTCATCCTTTATTTAAAATTATATATAAATGTGTGTCTGTGATATCTATCTATCTATCTATAAAAGTGAGTAAAGCTCCTATGCTCCCTGGCTGTTAGGAATTCCAATCAAGTGAATCTGACGGTTTTATAGTCAATCTTTCAAGCTACATTCCGTATGGGCGAGGGAATGTTCTAGAACAAATAGTGGCTATACTATTGCAAAGAATACTGGGAAAAGGCAGCCATTTTAGAGGAGAAAGGAGATTTAACTGTTCTAGGGAATCACGTGAGTTCCACAGTTCTATAGCCAATCCTTTAAGCTACATTTGCAGTGGGTGAGGGAAAGTTTTAGTAAAATGGTTGCAATACAGTTGCAAAGGTTTCTGGGAAAAGGCAACCAGGTTGGAGATGACGGAGACCTGACTGTTACAGGGAATTATGTGAGTCTCATATTCTGTAGCCAATCCTTTAAGCTACTTCATTGTGGATGAGAGAAAGTTTTAGAAAAAATGGTGGTTATATTGTTGCAAAGTTTACTGGGTAAAGGCAACAAAGTTAGAGAGGGAGGGAGACCTGACTGTTCTAGGAAATCACCTGAGTCCCACACTTCTGTAGCCAATTCTTTAAGCTAATTTCACTGTGGGTGAGAGAGTGTTCTAGAAAAATGGTAGCCATATTGTTGCAGAGTTAAAAGACAACCATTTGGGAGGAGGAGGGAAACTAAGAAAATGGTGGTTTGACTGTTACAAAAGTTACTGAGAAAAGGCAATAAGGTTTGAGAGGGAGGGAAACTTGACTGTTCTAGGGAATAGATTATAATAAATGCTGAAATGATTGCCACCAGTGATTAATGAGAAAAAGAGCTTCCAGGTTAGAGAACTCCTGGGAAGAAAAATAAGTCAGAAATATCGAATTGGCTTCCTGTATCCAAAGACAGAAGCCAAATAAAGTTGCCCTGGGAGGTCTGACTCCAGGAAGTCACTCACACCCTGAGACTAAGTGGGGTATATGATCTCTGGATTAATTAAAGTTAACTCTGAAGATTAGAGGACTAGACTATTTAAAAATACAGTCATTATATTGAATTTAGAAATTAAATTTAGAATTAAATCTAATTTATTAATTCTATTTATTTATTCGTTCATGTATTTATTTCTGAATAAAATAATTAATGGAACTGCCACTGGGAGAACTATAGTATGCAAAGACAAGAAAAATTAATAACACTATCATGCTGACTTAGAAAAAAAGTAGTGTGCCTTAAAAAGTACATGAAAATAATAATGCTTTTGAAAGGATTAACAGAGGGAAGTTGGTTCTCACTGCAGCTCATAGATTTTCCTAACCTCAATCACGTGCATATTAAACTCTTATGTTTTACAATGTATATAACTTCAAATAGAGTTCCTAAAATTAAAAATGAAAAACCAGCAGGACAAATTACTGTTTTTAAACAGTTAGACCGCTCTTATTGTGAGTGATCCCAATAAAAGGTATCATCAACTTGAAGGTGTTGTTGTTAAATTAATTCTTATTTTATTGGTGTGTTAGCAACAGACTATGTTATTTCAAAGAAAGAAACAAACAAAAGCCAGCCACCAGCCAGTCATCCTTATTTTGCCTTCAAATCTCTCAAAAATGTTTTGTAATGATTCCAAGCTATAGGAGAATCAAAGGATGGTCTGTGATGAGGGGCACCCTGAAAATGCCAGAATGAGGAGGGTTTTATTTTGAGTCACTACCACTCCACATTTCTTATTCATTTGGTTCAGGTTTTTTTTTTGGCTTGAGGGTAAAGTGTCTGGCTGCCAGCCAGGTGGAGTGAGAAGGGTAGATGACTGTTTCATGCACTGATCCTCAGTTAATGTCCCCGTTTTCTGCCCCATTCTTGAGACCCCACCCCCAATTGTCCCTGCAGCCTCCAGGTCTGGGTCCTCTCTGGGTACTGCTGACATGGGCCTCCCTGGTCAGCTGAGCCTCATCTGCCCCCATCCATGCTGAGGCTACTTCAATGTCTGGCTTCCTCCAGCCCCACTTTTCAGAATTCCACAGTTTTGAACTCTTGACCTCGAGCAATCCACCCTCCTGGGCCTCCCAGAGTGTTAGGATTATAGGCGTGAGCCACCACCACGCCTGCCCGGCCAACACAGTTTTGTTGAGTTCTTTCATTTGCTGATGCCTCTCCTGTTGTTTTATTTCTTAGAGGTTTATGTGATTTTACTGTCTTCAGTGGCACCTAAGGAGGAAGGAGTTTTGAATGTGAGAGGCATCCTGGTATAATGGTTGAGTGTAACCTTTGGAACAAAATGTCCTGGATTCAAATTACTGTTCTGCTACTTACCAGCTGTGTGACTTGGGAGAGTTACTTAACCTCTCTGTGTTTCAGTTTCCCCATCTTTCAAACTGGGGTGATAGGTATACCTGTTTCACAGGGTCATTATGAGGATTCAATGACTTGCTATTGGTAAGGGCTTAGAAGATGGCATGGTCCCTGGCATGTGGTAAGTTAAACAAGCAGCTTATGAAATATTTTCATCCTGAACTGGAAACCTACAGCTATGATTTGAACCAGGCAGGTCTGGCATGGAAAGTCACATTCTGTTCCCTCCTCCACATTGGCTCTTCAAAGGCATCAGACACCCCTGGCCCAAGTGCTCTGGGCCAGAGACATACACTCTGGGGAATTATTAGCAGATGGATAAAAAGGAAAGCCACAGGGATGGTTGGGCTCACCCAGAGAAGGTCATGGTTTCCTGGTAGTCAGGGTTCTCTCCTTAGCTTGGATGGACACTGACCCTGCATCCTAGGGAAGTGAAGGCACCTCACCAGGCCCCACTTTCCCTGCCTGCCAAGTGAGGTTTCACAGTCTCCAGTAGGTGGCTTGTCCTCTCAGCTGATGTCTGCATGTGAAAGTTCCTGCAGAGGACAGGGACCCTCGTCACTGCTGTTTCTTCCTTGCAGCCTGGATGGCCAAGAGCTACTGAGGAACATGTGCAGGTGGGGTGGTGGCAGACAGCCAGTTTGTGGGGTTCTCAGGCTCTCCTAGTGTTCTGAGGCTGCCGGCCCTGGATTCCAGAGGATCAGGTGCCATGTGACTCCCCAGGGGTGTGCCATTGGTTCTGAGCACACTGTGGGAAAGCCGCTAGGATGGACTTAGTAGGCTACTTTGACTGCCCCTTCCTTTCTTAGGGGCCCCACCTGCCGATACCCAGGATGTCCAGAGACCAGGGCCATGGTGAAGTCCATTCCCAGGAGTATCCTGGCAGCTTCCAAGCCATGAGATTCCACTATGAGCGGTAAGAGCTGGAGCCCAGTGGTCCCTGGCTGCTTGGGCAGAGCCCAGAATGGGGCAGAGGGGCTGGTGAGCAGACTGACCAGGAAGGGGCCTGGGCACCCTGGCTTCCTGTCTGCGTAGGGCCTCTGGGTGCTCTGTGGCTGGGCTGGGCAGGGTAGCTTCCAGCTTTTAGGCCCTGAGTCTTTCCTTTCATGCAGAGTCACTGTCTGAGATGCCCTCAACTTACCTGCTTGCTCACACGGCCATCTTGTGTGCTTGCTAGGTCCTGCCTAAGACCAACAATAGGTCTGACCTTCCGTCTTTTCTTTTTTCCCAGCAACCCGGAGGCAGACATGGTAGCAGAGATTGGCCTAGAAGAGCTCAATGGGCTGGAGATGGAAGTCATGAGAAGACAGGTGAGCAGGGATCCCTCGAGTGGGTGGAGGCAAAACCACAGTGCCTTGTGGTGGGTGGGCCTTGACCGCAGGAGGCTGCCTGTTTGAGGCCATCTTACCCTGGAGCACTGGAGGTGAGGCAGCTCCCTTCCTCTTATTCCTGGTCCCCATAGCTCTGGTGTCCCATCTTGATGCTCAACCTCAAATATACCGTTATCCCTGAGATGCTGGGAGGGAATAGCAGATGAGAAAAGGAGGAGGCATAGGGTAAGAGCAGTGTGTCCAAAGGCAGTGGTACCGAGAGGTCTGAGGGAGGTGTTGCCTTTGTCCAAATCAAGTCCAGGCCTTCTCAGGAAAAGATCCCAGGGGGCCTAGGCACAGAGGGGGCATCTGCCCAGGTGGCCCACTCTGGCTCCTGAGTGTCACCCCATCCTGGGCCCTCATTCTGGTTCTGCTGCTGCCCCACACCAGCCCACCCCACCATTGAAGAGCCCTCGTTCCTTGGCTCCCCCCGCAGAGCTGGGATGGGCCGGCTTCAGGGAACTGGAGTGAACACCAAGGGAGGGGAAAAGGAAGTTGTGCTTTGGTCCTGTGGGCCAAGCCACCACCCCTGCTTCTCACTCACGGGCACTTTGGCCCTCCACAGACAGCAAAGCCCCTTCCTGCTTTAGCTTCACACTTTATCCCACTGCCTTGCTGTGGACTCCCTGCCAGGAGCCTTGCTCACCAGCCCTACTTTTGGTCCCTCTGCAGCTGAGTGTGATCACTGGGCGTTTGCGTGCCCTGGAGGACCAGGGCACCACCTGGCGCCACAGGGATGCTCTGTTCTTCACCATGCTGGTGTCAGCTTGTGCCATCAACCTGTGGCTGTGGATGCGCCAGTGAAGCTTTGCTGCTGCTACAGTGTCGCCAGAGCCCTCCCTCCTTCCCTTTTTTCCTTCTGTCCATGGGCCACCCTTGCCCACCCACCTCCCATCTCCCAGCAGCTCCAGGGCCATTTTCCAACTCTGACCCCTTGCCTGGGGAGGTCAGGTCACTCCATGGGGAGGTCCCAGCTGCTGGGAAGGTGGAGGAGGTCAAAAGGGGCTGAGCTGCTGCCCTTGTTGAAGGCAATGAGAGCAGCATCTGGTCCCCACATTAACACCAGTGTCAGGTGCTGCCTTGCCTCTGTGACCTCAGCATCCCTTCTGTTCCATCCTCTGTAGACATGGGTTTGGCTCTGTCTTCATCCTTTGTCTGCTTCCACATTATGCACAGGGCTCTGCACAGAGAAGGTGTTCAATAAAAGTTCAATAATAGCAGCAAAGCCTGGTGGCAAGGTTCTTGCATCAAAGACTCATTTGCAGCAGCAGTAAGGGTGGAGTGCACTGCGGAACAGTCACTCTGGACAAAGGCCCTGTGGCTGGGACGAGGCTTCTGCCATCACTTCAGGGGCCCTGGTCCCCTCCTCTCCCTCATCTGCCTCACCCTAGCCCAGGCAGAGGGCTTCCTGAAGGGCCTTTGCAAAGTCCTTCCTGTTGGGGTGGTGCCAGTGAATGCTTGTGGGGAGTGGCTCTGCAAAGCATGTCTGGACCAGATGTTGTGGGGACTCAATCAGAGGAAATCTGCTAGAAGGGAAATTGAGTTCCAGAGAGGGGAAACTTGTCCCCGGGATTGTCCAGCAAGACAGGAACAGGACTGGGTCTGGGTTCTTCTGAGTCCTAGCCTCCTACAGACTCGCTGGGGTGAGGTCCTGACTCATTCCTGAGGCTGAACAGGAGCCACATGTACCCTGCCCCCGCATACACACATGCCTTGGGGCCACAGCCCCCTGACACATCTCAGACAGGTGTGGGACTGAGCCTGAGAATTTGGGAGTGCTGCCTGCCACTTTGGGGCCTGAGCACAGGGCAGAAGACCTGCTGTCCCTTTCTCTGGGACCAAGGGATCAATACATCTCACTCTGGGGCCAGAGACCCAGAACTTTGGCTTTTGTGGCTAAGTGGACCTTCCACAATCGCCCAAATCTGTCAAGGGTTGATAAAGGCGGGAGAGTATGTTAGTCACTAGGCATGAAATGAATGAATGTGTGTGTTTTGTTGTGGAGGGAGGGTGGAGAGGGGGAGCTTGAGTCCTAGAATTTGCTCTGTCCCTGCCTCGTCCCTCTCTGGCCCCCAGCGGGTCTGTATGCAATCAGGGGATTCCTCCACTCCTGGTACTCTGGAGCCTGCAGTATGTATGAGGTAAGGAGGCAGGGCCTCCTGTCAGCCCTGTGGGACCCCATGCACATGGCCCCTAGAACCTGGCCCTGCTGAAAGCAGAGACAAGGACACTTGGTGAAGAAAGAGTTGGGAGATTCTTCTCTGTCCCAGAGCACAGAGGGTAATGAGGTGTCAGAGGAAGCCCCTCTACAGAACGGGGAGACAGCAGCACCCAGACAAAAGTGCTACTCACCAGGAGAGCCAAGAGGGCCAGGGAGAACCGGCAGCATTCCCTGTTCCCTCCAAATGGGCCCGGAGTCCTGGGAATCACCTTGCAGGCTACCCTTTCCCTCCCTGCAGCCTCAGGACAGACCAAAACGCAGAGAAATATTCAGGGAAGCTGGGAGATGGAGCAGCCTATCTGTTCAGACTGTGGAAGACAAACTGAGTTGAGCGAGGGGCAAGAAGCCAAAGTTGCCATGAGGCAGCCCTCACCCGGTCCTCCCAAGGCTGCCTCTGCCTTCTGCCCTGGTCAGGCCATGCAGGGAACCTCAGAGGAGAAGGAGAAGACTACAGCTGGGTGGGGCTGGGTCTTCCCTGTGGGACCAGGTAGGTGTACATGTGCCTGCACAGACAAGGACATGTTTGCAGAAAAAGTCTGGTTCAAAATATGTTGTGAAACAAAGGTTCACCCTTGGGAGCAATTTAGTTGAGTTGCAAACAAACAGTGTGGTGGTCCCTGGAGGAACACCTCCTGAGCTAGGTGACCTTGCCCAGAGCCCTTAGCTGGGTCTGGCTGCACCTCTGCCCTGTCCTCTTGTGTGGACACTTGGCTGGCTCCTGGCAAGGCTAGGGGCTAGTTCCTGCTGCATTTCCATAACTTCTTGCTCCACGAAGAAGGCCTCAGAGAACTCCTGAGAAGAACTGGAGCCAGAGCTGCTCATGCTGGGCACCTCTGCAGAGTTCCTTCAGGGGCACAGGGATAAATTGTGGGGGCTGGCATCTCTGCCATGCTTTTCTGATCCCCCAGCCCCTGGGAGACCAAGGGAGGCTCAGGATGGCAGGTTAGCACCCCTGCCTAGCCCTCTGGCTCCAACCCACCTGGAGTATGTGCCCTTCTGATTCTATGTCCTTGACAAGCTGTCCTTGCCCTGCCCAGACACTTTTTCCTGAGCTCAACACTTCTCCCAACAAGCCATTAACTTCCCCATGGAGAAGCAGAGTGCTGTGGGGCAAGGGGGCTTGGGGAGAGGGACGTTTGGCCTCTTGCTTATCGCTAGTCTGTGAAACTTCCCATTGGCTGCTCAGGCTTAGTATTAGAGGGGTACACAGTCAGTCCCCCACAGGGCAGTAGCTTCTGGAGGACAGGGCTAGCTTCCATTGCCTCTGCATCCGTGGCACCCAGCAGAAGTAAAGGGCTGGTACAAGGGCCTCTGACCAGGGTCCCCAGAGAGCAGTTCTGCCCCTGGTCGTCCCCATCTGGCCTTTAGGGCATGCTCTCTGTAGAAAAGCCTTCCCCATCTAAGTAAGTAAAATCCAACCACCACTTGCCACAGCACACCTACTATGTGCCACACATATCACTTTTTCAAAATATGTAATAACAAAAGTCATGCCTGAATGCATTCTCCCAAAAAAGGCAAACATAGCAGGTGTAGCTAACACAGACCCTTGCCCCCAGTGCCAAGCCCTCCACAGAGCAACACCCATGGTGGGCTTGGCGTGCATCCTTGTGGACTCTCACGCTGTTACACGCAGATTTTACACCCCAGGCTTTGTGCACAGGATGGCATTGAAGCCTCCCCCAATAGCCCCTGAGGGTGGGGCCTGTCTTCCCAGCTGGCTGTGCCCCTGGTTGTGCTGTGCCCTGCCCCACTGAACTGGCCCCCCAGTCTTCCTCCAGGCCTGTGCAAAAGCTGAAACTCAATCTTCCAGTTCTTCTGGCCCAGGCGTGCTTCCCAGCGGCTAGGGGAAGGTGGGAGGGGGAAGGCAGGATGTGGCGAGGCGCCCTGAGGGTGCATGGTGGGCTGTGGTGTACCTGGGAGCAGCCTAAAATCCTGGCCTCTTACAAATAAGCCAAAGGCTCACTGCCCCAAGGCCCTTGCTCCCTTCTTCCCCAGCCCCAGCCTCCTTCTCTCCAGGGACAAGTCCAGGGGCCGACCCCCCTCAGGCCAGCCCTAGCCCAGGGCCCTCTTCTCTCTCCCATATTGCTACCTGGCTCACCCTCTGGTCAGGAAGGCTGGCCCGGACTGTGCCATGGCCTGGAGCCAGGTGCACGGGGGCTGTGAGCTGGCAGCTCTGAGTCCCCAGACACAAAGCCCTGAGCATGCTCTATGCAAGGGAGGGCTCCTTGGGGAGCTTGGGAGTGGCTGGCTCCTGGATCTGGGCAGGTGAGTGGTTTCCACAGCCAGGCAGCTCGGCATCCTCTCCTTCCCTGCTGACAGCCTCAAGTGTGCGGGGCCCATAGGCAGGACAGCTTCTCTAGTGGGCAGGTAATGCCCTGGGCATGAGCTCCTCTGGGCCTCTGCCAGCTTCTCCTGCTGGCCTCGGGTAGAGTGGGGCGGCTCTCTGATTGGAGGCTGCCAGCTGAGTCACGGGGACTCAAGAAACCCCTGACCTGGGAACAGAAGCAGCAGGAGGTCTCTGCTGGCTTCAGGTGCTGATGAACCCCCAAGGGCTTGTCTCTGATTGGAGGCTGTGCGGAAGGACCATGGATGCTGACTGTGGCCAGGAGACCCCTGCCTTTGAAGCCGTCTGATTGGTGAGGAAAGGCACTGACCTGGGGCTGAAGCTTTCCTGTGACCACAGGTTGGTGGCCTCCACGAGGTTCAGAGCTGGACCCCATGAAAGTTTGCAGGCCCTAGAGAAGGGCTTGACCTGGGCCCTCGTGTCTATGTCCTGCCAGGGAGCTGAGGAAAGTGGCCGGGTGAGGAACCTGTCCCCAGTCAAAGCAGACAAATGAATTGTTTGGGGCTCTAGGAAGGAGTATGGAGGCAGCTTGCCCTGAGATAGCTGAGCATCCTCCCCTAGGAGAGTGGCAAGGAGGTGGCAGAGGGGGCAAGGGGCCACCTGGCCAGGCAGGGTTTGGTGGAGGTGGGTAGCTGTGGGCCTTACCACTGCCTACTTGGTGCAGAGCATTTCTGGGTCTCCCAGCCTCAGAGCTTGGGGAATGGGCCACTTGGAGCTCCACGGCTCTCTACATATGAGGAGCCATGGAGATCAAGGTCAGGGGCTTCTCCCAGAAACCCCACTGGGATTATAGCCTTTGCTTTTGTCCCTTCGAGCTTCACCCTGGCTTCCCCAGGAGCTCCTTGTAGGGGTGCACCCACTTCAGGCCCCTCAAGCTTTGGGAGTCTGCCCCTTGGCCATTTGGGCAAATGCATCTACATCGAAGCCCTTGGAACTTTTGGTTGAAGGAAGATTCTGGAGCCAGGCAGCAGGTCTGGGGCAGGGACAGGCTCCCAGGGGCATGGGCTCCTCTGGGCCTCTGCCAGCTTCTCCTGTTGGCCTTGGGCAGGGCGGGGCAGCTCCCAGTTTTGGCCATGCAGGTGAGCTTGCCTTCCGTCTCAGCTGGAGTCCAGACCAGCAGATGTCGGCTCTGTCTGACTGTGGCTGTGAGAGAAAACTAATTTGGGGGCAGGCTCATCTCTAGATGTCCTGCCAGTGGCTGGGCCACTGGGCCCCTTCCAACTGCCCCCTAACACCACTCATCAGCAGCTGAGTTCTCCAGAGGGAGGGACACCGGTGCTGGACTGGGCACATACTTGGGCTCTGAGTTGAGCTTCGCCTGTGGCAGATAAAGAGTGTACCTGGTTGGTCCTCAGGTGTCACCGTGGGCACAGAACTGCCAGGATCAGCCCTGGCCACATCTCTCCCAAGCTCCAACATGAAGTGGCCCCACAGGAGATGAGGCTGAAGGCGTTTGAATGCCCAGGTGTGGAGCTTGGAGTTTATTATGCAGACGGTCCCCCTCCATTCAACAAATACTTGACTTTCTCTTTAATCCTGGGACTCAGCAGGAAACAACACACATGTGCTCACATGATGGTGGCCTTCCGGTGGGGACAGACAATAAGCATATTAATTTATAGTTCCTTGTCAGGGGATGATAAATCTGTGCTATAAATAAAGTGGGAAAAGTGAACGTGAAACAAGGTGCAGGTTTGGGAAGTGCAGGCAGTTCACTCACTCACTTGTCAAACATGTATCAAGCACCTATCATGTGCTTTCCACTGGGCTAGGCTCTGATGATTAATGACAAAACAAAACACAAAAGTCCCCTGTCCTTACGAAGTTTATTTCTGGAGCGAGGTTTTTTGTCTATGAGTTTTAGGAGAGGCAGGGAAAAACGGGCCCAGGTGTGGTCCTGTTGAACTCACCCTGGTGGTGTGGAAGGCAGAGGCCTGGGAGAGCCAGGGATCCCGAGGCGGAGAAACTGTGCGTCAGAAGGTTGTGACAGCACCCAGGGAAGGCCCAGTGCAGCAGCAGTCAGGACCAATCGGGAAGAAGGTGCTGGAGACACATTTCTGCAGTAGAACCAACAAGATTGGGGGACCAGGTAGGAGGAATCAAAGATGACTCTTAGGTTTCTGAATTGGGCACATGTAGGAAAAATGTGCCTTTCTTGAGATAAAGCATTGGGGACAGAGGAGCTGGGGCCAAGGGGCAGGAGATAACGTCAGTTTGGGACATGGTGGGCCCAGGGGATAGAGATGGCACATGGACACCTGGGGATGTGGAGCTCAGGAGGGGCTTCTCAGTGAGGACAGGAGGGTTTGGGAGGGGGCTACAATTGCCAGGGTCCAACCTCCTCTCGGGTGCGGACGGTGTGCAGCTTATGCCAGGTGTGCTGCCCCAGCTCCATATTTGCCTATAAAGAAATGAAGCCTTCCTTGGCTAAAGCAGCCTGGCCGTGAAGAGTTTCTGACACAGTGGTGTCCACACTAGAGCCTCCAGTCCCTTGTCAAAGTAGTGATCAAACCCGCCAGCCCACCAGGCCTGTTGGGCAAAGCCCCACCTCCCCTGTGTCCTGCTGGAGATTTTACTCAACGAATAGTTCTCAAGTTCTCTATTAATATTTCATGAAGGTGCTAGGCTGGAACCTGACCTCAGGAAGGCCAACAGGAGCCAAAGGTGATAGGCAAGCAGCTCCTGCAGCCCTCCTTCCCACAGAGGGCCCCTGTAGCTATTCTTCCTAGGCCTAGGAACAAGCAGTCACAGCAGTGTCAGCTCCACACTCCAAAGTCGGCTCAAGGGCCTGCCGCTTCTGGTGTTGTTCTGACCTGAACTCTCCTGGCTCTAGTTGCCTTCTGAGCCAGCCCTTTGTGCTTTTGGAGCCAGATTGCTTGGTGTAAATCTGTGCAGTGTGGATAGTAATGGTTTAAGCTTTGCCAGATTGTCATGGAGATTAAATGAATTCACTTATGCCAAGTGCTTAGACCCTAAATCACCAGGTTCTAGCTGCTTCCTTTTGGCCCTCCCTGTTGCTGTCTGCCACCCACCTCCCTGGTTCCCTTCCTGCCTTCCCTGCCACCCTGCCACCTAGGATGTGTATGGCCCTGCCCTTGGCACCATTCTCCGCCTGCCGCCAGGACCTTTTCCATTGCAATGGGAAATATCTGATATTGACTCTCTGGGAGACTAGTTTCTGGCTAAGACTTGTAGTCTGATGCTCTAGGCTGTCAACCATGGACGAGATCCCTTCCCAGTCACAGTGAAAAAGGTTTGGCTTCACCTGGTATTAACTTGAACCTGAAATCAGGATGACTGAATTGGTTTTTAAATTTTTTGAAAAATTTTAAGGCTTAAAGTAAATAGCCCTATAACCCCCTCCCAATTATAGACATCATATACAATATTAGAAATTACCAAAAAATATAAAAAACAATTTCCTGGCACCCTGAGAACTAAGAAATAAAATCTGTTGTATCTTGTACAGTGTATGTATGTCTGTGTTAATATAAGCACACATGCAAGGATAGACTACACTCAATAATATAATGGCACATTCCATTTGAAACCTATTTTTCCCTTACCATATCATATTTTCCCTTGACAAGAAGTATTTATCTTCTACAATATCAATACCATTTTAATGGCTGCATAGTACTCCTACTTATGGACTTAATTCACTTGATTACTTGATTAATTCACCATAATTGTAAACACACATTGCTTCTAATTTTTCATTAAGGTATACATCTCTGTGGCTAACATCCTTGCACCTCTATTTTTGTGCTTTTACTGATTATTTTTCTAATATATTGATTTGTAAGATGTCTGTTTATGCTAAAACACACCATTTCATTTTCTCTGTCAAATTTTTTAGTTTATTGTCTTCATTTTAACTTTTGTTTTAACATCTATTTTATGTTCAATGTTTTTACAGTATTGTCTTCCTATCCCAATATTATATAACAATTTTCCTATCTGCCATGCATAGTGGCTCATGCCTGAAATCCTAGCACTCTGAGAGGCCGAGGCAGGAGGATGGCTTGAGCTCAGGAGCTCGAAAATAGCCTGAGCAAGAGCGAGACCCCGTCTCTACTAAAAATGGAAAAATTAGCTGGGCATGGTGGCATATGCCTGTAGTCCCAGCTTCTCGGGAGGCTGAGGCAGTAGGATTGCTTGAGCCCAGGAGTCTGAGGTTGCTGTGAGCTAGGCTGAAGCCACTACACTCTAGCCCGACCAACAAAATGAGACTGTCTCAGAAAAAAAAAAAATCCTATAGTTTCATTATTGTAGTTTTGTTGTTTACATTAATATTTTTATCAATATATAATAATTATACATATCTAGGTGGCACATGTGATATTTTGTCACATGCACATGATGTGTAATGATAAAATATGGGCAATTGGGGTATTTATCACCTTAAACATTCATCATTTCTTTGTGTTTGGAATATTACAAATCTTTTAGCAATTTTGAAATATACTATAAATTATTAACTATAGTCTACTTAATTTTGTTTTAATTTCCAGTAAGTATGCATTTCATTTCCTTTTTCTTTCTTATTGTACTGGCTGAGAGACCCAGCACAGTAAGTATTGTCTAGAAATGGTGATAGCTTACATCCTTTTAATAAATTCCTAATCCCAGGAAAAAAGAAAACAATTTTTTCAATATTCAATATGATTATATACATATATATACGTATCTTTTAGGAGGTTAAGAAAAGTCCTTTCTATTCTAATTTTCTAAGCATTGTTTTTAAATAAGCAGGTTCTGAATTTTGTCCAATTCTTTTTCAATTCCAATTGAGGTGATCATGTAATTTTTTTCTCCTGTAACTAGATCAAGTGTTCTAATTATATTGATTGAATTTTTTAAGCCCTTATTGAATTTTTTCTGCTTTTCCATCAAGGATGGGCTGGACTGAACTAGAAGCTGGGACATCTGATTACCTAGAGGGTTGCATGAGCCCCCTGGGAAGACCCACTGGTGCAGTTCCCTTTTCAGAGCTGTGTCTTCTGAGATTCCTCAGAACTTCTCCAAGCTCTAGTCTTTATGATGCCTTCTTCCCTCTCTCCCTCCATTTCTTCCTTCCTTCCACCAGCATGAATGCGGTGCTCTCCGGGAGCCAGGCCAGTGCCGTGTAGGGATGCAGTGCCTAACCACGCAGACACTGATGCCTACCCTCAGGCAGCACACACTCTAGTGCAGGGGTGCTGACAAGAAGGTGGTGTAGTCTGGACACAGGTTCACCCCAGGACCGTGGAAACTTGAAAAGAAGCTGTAGACAGAGAATAAGCCTGGGCA